GGCCCAGCCCCCGGCCCAGCTCCAGGGAAAATGTTTGGCCGCAGACCCGCTATAGGGGCCCCGCCCGTAGCCACACCCACACCTTTATTTCCGCCAATCACAGTCTTGGCCCCTCCCTCTGGATCCAGCCTCCTTCCGGCGTCACCACCCTCTTCCCCTAGCTGCCTGCAGAGCCTGGAGACCACGGTGAGTCTAGCGGCTACCTAGGTGAGGTCGGGGTCTCAGAGCCCAAAGGGCTGCTGCCACGGGCTGGTTGAGGAGCTGAGGGACAGGGGCGGGGCCTAGGAGGACCCCACCTTCTAGGATGACACCAGCCCTGGGGCAACATAGCCAGACCCTGACTCAGGGAAAATGCACATAAAAGGGACTGGGTGTAGCTCAGCATCAAGGCCTTGTATTCAACCCCCAGTACCAGGAAAACAGTGAGAAGGGCAACTGTGGAGCCGGGCACACTTGTGCACACTCGCAATCCCAGCATTTAGGGCGCTGAGGCAGGAGGATCAGAAGCTTCAGGCCAGCCTGGACCTCCTAGTGACCTCCTTGTCTTAGAAAAACAAAAACAAAACAAAAAAGGATAAGTTTGCCTGACAACCACCTGTGAGATGAGTTTGTGGAACCCAAAGCTCTTATTTCTAACTGCTGGGTGAGATGGTGCAGACCTGCAGTCCAGTGTCTGGGAGCCTGAGAAGCAAAGATTGCCTGAGTCAGGAGTTCAAGACCAACCTGGTCAGCACAGTGAGACCCCATTCCTGATAAATCCCCCAAACCACAGTGACTGTCAGTCTCCATGGGAAAGCTTTTCAGAGGTAACTAAACATCTAACTTAGTACGCCTCTGTGAGAGAGCTCCAGCAAGTCCTATAGGGCAGCTGGTGTTTCTGTTGTAACTGATCCCATAGAAGGGGGTCGGTTCTGGTCATTAATTATTCTCTAATACTCAATCGCTGAGCACTTGTAAGTTTTTCAACATTTGGAATGTATTCAAATGGCTTTTGTCAGGCCAGGGATTTAGCTCCGTGGTTCTGGTGCCTGCCTTGCAAGCACAAGGACCCAAGTTTGATCCCTGGTACCAAAATTTTTTTTAAAAAGGCTTTTGTCAAATATGAAACATTTGTGTATTTTACTTTTTTTTTTTTTCTGCAATACAATTCAGGGCGGACTTGAGCTCACTGTGTAGCCCAGGCTGGCCTCAAACTCATTATGTGAAGTTGCTTGCATGAAGCACTAATTTTTCTCTTTTTTTTTTCTGCAGAACTGGGGACTATCATGCCTGACCTGAATGAATCCCCCTCAGCAAACCTGCCATCCTCAACAAACAACAGGAAACCACTAAAAATCCATGCTGTCCTCAGTAAACAGCACAGAGGGCCATAAGGAAAACTGAGGACCAAAGGCACAATCTCCCCAGTGTGCAGTAGTCCAATAGTATCTGCTCACCCGCCCTGACCATCCTGGGAGCCTGGACCACAAGCATTCCACACAGATTCCTTAAGGCAGCACCCCTTCCCAAGCCCTATAAAACTTTGCTTCTTCTCTGGCCATTTGCTGACATCTTTCTTGATCTTAGCCCATCCGCACTGGGTAGAGAATAAACCAGCCTTTTGCTCACACAAAGCCTGTATCTAACTAGTCTCTTGTGTGCCGTTTCTCACAGGAAGTGAACCCCAGACCTTTGCACTGAGATACGTCCCCAGCACTGTTTGAATTTTAATTTTTGAGACAAGGCGTTGCTAAGTTTTGTAGGCAATTTAGATGTTCTTGTCTCAGCGTCCCAAGCATCTGGGCTCACAGGTGTGCGCCACCACGCCCAGCTAAGATTTTCATCTTCATCACTGGTTTTCATCCATTGGATGACAAAGTTCCCTCCAGTTTATGCTGAGCTTGGTGTTATTGGATTAAGTAGATCTATTGGTTTCTAGTGTTTATCAAATTGGGGGTTTTCAGGGATTTTTTTCAGATTTTTTTTTCCTGTCCCTCTTTGCTTTTCTAAATGGATTCCAATGTTACATAATTTTTCCAATTAATATTTTCCCACAGCTTACTGGTAGGTGTTTGCCTTTTTGATTTTACATTTTTTTGCACCATTTTGGACAGTTCCTTTTGCTGTATCTTCCAGCTCACTACTCTTCTGTATGGTCTAATCCACTGTTAACCCTACCACAAGCAGGTGTGATCATTTCATTTCCAGAAGTTTGATGTAAGATCTTTTATTTGTTTCATTTCTTTCCTCATGATGTTTCTGACTTTCTTCAGTTTCTTGACCACTGGGAATTTATTTCTACTAGCTGTTTCACATCCTTATTGCCAATTCTATCTTGTTTGTCATTTCTCAATCTATTTCTATTGTGTTTTTCCTACTTTGGGGGCTATTTTTCTGCTTCCTTACATATTTGCTAATTTTTTATCAAATGCTGGGTGTTTTGAATTTTATGTTGTTATACTCTGGATTTTGTTTTATTGAATTTGTTAAAAATCCTACAGGTTTTATCATCTTCAGGTTTTAGCACATACTTTCCTGGACTACTACAGAAATAATTCTGCTCCTGGTGTGGTTTATATCTGGAAGTCCCCCAAAGCCTCACGCACCAGTAGGTGGGGTTTGGGCAGGTGATTGAATCATGGGGATGTTATATCCACCAATGAACTTACAGCTAAGTGTGATGTTGGGAAGTGAAGCCTGGTTGGACGAGGTGGCTCTGGGGGGTGTGGCTGAAAGGGTTCATCTTCCTGGCTCTTCCCCTGACCTCCCTGCTTCTCACCACCTTGTTATGGACAGCTGTCCTCTGCCAGGTGCCTCTGCCATTCCTCCCTGCCATGGAGCCAGAGGATCATGGACAGAAACCTTTAGAATGGGAGCCAAAATAAACCTTTGCTCCTTTTACTTCTGGCCGTCAGGTATTCTGTCCCAGTGACAATAAAATAACTACAATAATATCTGAGATGTGCATCTCAAAAGCCAAGCACAATAGCCCATACTTGTATTCCGGGCTACTCAGGAGGCTAAGGTAGGGAGATCACAAATTCAAGGGTAGCCTTGGCAATTTAGCAAGGCCTGGTCTCAAAACAAAATTTAAGCAAAGGGTAGAGCCATCTTGTAGGTGGAGTGCTTGCCTGACACACTCAAGACTCTAGATTTAATTCGCACACCAAAGGTGGGGAGATGTTTGTGTACAACCGGGCACTTGGGTGCTCTCAGTGGCAGGACCATCACAGTGTTGATCTGCATTTGCCAACTTCAGGGAAATGCCCTCCAGCCTGACTGTGCGCACACATGGGTCACACTCCCCAGCACACACTTGGTATGAACATGAGCCAGGCTCCACGCTGGGAGACTCAACAGCAAAGAAGTCAGCACAAAACCCGGCCTCCTAAAGCCACAGTTCCCAGCAGGGCAGGCAAATTAGTCTAAGGTCAAACCCCACCTGTTACCTGCTTGTGTTCAGCTTAAGAACTGAGAATGGTTAAATTTTTAAGTGGTTGGAAAAAATCAAATAATGCCATTTCGGGTGAGGTAGAAGTTATAGGAAGCTCGGGTTTCAGTAGCCATGAGGAAGGACTCCGGAGCTGGAGGTGGCAGAGGCTTCACAGGAGATCAGGTAGACAGGGAGCCAGAGGCAGGACCACAACCCTGGGAAGGAATCCAAGGTCAAGGAACACGATGGGAGGGGTCCTGGCTCCTGAGCTGTGGCCAGGCACTGTGAGGACACTCCGGGGAGGAAGGTACAGAAGGGGGTGACTGCCAAGAAATTCAGCCAAAGTCCAGTGGGGCACCCTGACTGCTAGGACCAGGGCTGGAGGCGATGGGTGGGCCCTGCTGTGCAGCAGAGCTGCCCGGATATGGGGCTGGTGGGATTCGGGTGACCACAGGGTGAGGTCTGTCCAGATGCAGGGCATATAAGGGAAATTCTAGTGTGGAAAGGGAATGAGACAGAAACTGTGACGATGTGTGGACTCTGCACACGTCATTTATTTTTGCACACTGAATGACTCAGGAACGATCACCTCTTTGGGGCCTGGAGGGAGGAAAACAAGGCAGGTAGGGCATTTAAGAAAATACCGGTTCAAGGTAACAAATGCAACATTTGACTGAAAGGCCTCCTGGGACCCCATGTGACTAAGTCCCTGTGTTCTACCCGGAAAGCATAGGCACTGACAAGGCCTTACCTGCAAGGTGACCGTGCACCTGTGCAGTGACAGGAACATGGGCTCAGGCCAGGGAACTGAAAATGGAAGTCAGAAATGAAGTGGAAAGGCTCCGGCTCTTCTCTGTAGGTGACAAAGAACCCTTGTAATTGCACTACATTAAAAGATCAAGCATGGTCACCCTTTGTGTACCTTGGCTGTGGGTCCTGTCAATACTTTCAATAGTGAAATGTTCAGAGGGAACAGCTGCCATTTCTCTCCTCACCTGCTGGTCTTCTCTGCTTGGTGTGGGTTTAAGTTCTGAATGCGGTCTTGTACTGTGGAGAGAAAGTGTTGTTTATCAGCATTTATGTTGATAAATGCTAAAATTCCCCCCGAAACACTTCTCCCTTGCATAGTACTAATAAACTGCCCAAGTTTCTTTCCTTTAAACATCTCCACCCTTTTCTCAGTTTCCAAAGCAGCAGGAAGGAGTACACCACAATTCAAAGATCGGTTATTTTTCAAATATTTTATGTGAGCTTCTCCCTTGACTCTAGAGCTGTAAACACCCGGAAGTTCGCCTTCAGCAGGGCAGGCAGTAGGACTCCGCAGTGAAATGCACCTGTTTCTGAGGCTTTGCGGTGCACTGGTGAAGTTATGAGTGGAAAGAACCCGGTTCCACACCTCAGAGTTTGAATTTCCCTGACCAGGTGAATGAAGCAGAGGCGGTGGTGGCCCGCGCAGGGCCTGTTCCTCTTTGTCCGAAACCATGACCTTCCTCTAAGTCGGGGTTGCTCCCTGCCACTCTTGTCCCTCTTCCCACACGTGCCTACGTATTCCAGTTTGGGACACTGTCACGTGTCCCATAGCACCCCCAACATCAAGCCAATGAGCAATGGCACTAGGGACTACTGAAGAGGAAGGGGTGGTGTTAACGACCGAATGACCCAGTGGTTCTGCGGGCCTGGAACATTTTATAAAGCAGCCAACTTGCTGCACGCAGCTCGGGGATGAAGGCTGCTGTGGATCAAGCTGACCACGAGAGATGGGAGGTAAAAAATCCCAACGAGCACCTGCATCAGATGCACCTGAAACTACTGCCTCTGGGCTCTTCCATCCCCCAGTAAAATGAGTCAACATGTTTTGTTTCTTCTTTTCTGTTTTTAACCCCAGTTAGGGCAGTCTGAGCTGAGTTTCAATCTCTTGTAACTGAGCACTGACTGATCCGATTTGATATCAGAGTCTAACACATTAAGCCTGCCAGCTAGGGGGCGTCAGGCTGACGGCCTTTGGGATCTCCCCAGGAGACTAACGCAGCACTTCCAGGTCCATCTGGGAGGGTCCTGGAGGTGGCCTTGGGGACTAGGTCCTACCTCTCTGGTGCTGTCCCCTGCCCTGCTTCCTGGCAGCAGCGAACTGAGGAGCTTTGCTCTTCCTTTGTACCACTTCCTTCCTCCATGGTGTTTGAGCCTTGAGCCAGCTGACCGTGGACTGAATTCCCAGAAACTGTGAGCTAAATCGATCCTCTCTTCCTTTAAGCTGTGGGTGTTGGTTATTGTGTCCCGACAGCAGGTGAACTAATACATCTAAGTGTACACCTCCCTAAGGATGGGTGCTCGCTGACTGGCCTTGTGGTAAGTGGGTAGGAGGAGCAGCAACAAGGATACGACATTTAATTTTTGTTTCTCTCCAAAGAGATGCAGCACATGTCCATGCACGTGAGACTCTCAGGGGTTGCAAAGCCACTGCTTCAGCTACGCAGCAATGACTAAGATGGCTGGGCTACAGCAAAGAAAACAAAACGAAGCCCTAAACCAAGTCTGGCATTGGCTAGGTAAATAATAAATGTTAGCGCTCAACGCCTTCAAACACAAAGGCAAATTTTGGGTAAGGTGACCAGAGACTTGGAGGCGATGGAGCTCACTCAAGGGGCTGGGTGGGGCCTATTCTGCAGCAGGGTTAGCTGACGGGATGTGGGGTGAGGTCTGTCCAGATGTGGGGGCTATAAGGGTAGTTCTAATGTAGAAACAAAATAGGACATAAAACTGTGATAATTTTCTCACGAGAATTGTAGACTTTTGCAAACATTTGATTTATTTTTATACATTTAATGAATCAATTGGACTATGATTATCAATTTCAAGGTATGGAGGGAGAGAAAAAAAAAGCTAGCGAGGGCATTTAGGAAAAACATTGCTTCGAGATAACAAATGCCATATTTGACTGGAAAGCCCACCAGGCATGGTGGTGCACGCCTGTTATCCCAGCACTCGGGAGGCTGAGGCGGGAGCATTATCACAAGTTGGAGGCCACACATTATCACATAGTGGCTTGTATACATATGGCCCGTATTCGTATACATATGGGCTATATATAAAGTAGGACCCTGTCTCAAAAGAAAAAAAGAGAGAGGGTGGGGGGGGAGAAAGGAAGGAAGGAAGGCCTAAATCCCTGTGATATCCCTGAGAAACCTAGGGGCCAGCAAGGCC